AATACTTAATGGAAGGTTTGAGGCATGGTTATGCATTTTTGAAGGACATAGAAAGAAAGTTTGAAGGCTAATTTGAAAGTGTGAAATTTGTGAAGGTTTTGTATGTGATGAGAAGGAAAAGATAAATGTTGAAAGAAAGTTGAATGCATGATAGGCCAGTAAGCTGGGACAAGTAGAATAGGGAAACTAAGCAAAAATCCTGTCTTCCCTAAATCAAAGACATTTGGAGTAAATGCTTTGCATTTGCCTCCCTAAACAAAGGTTAAATCGTTTATGTCAATCTGATTAGTGTCATTTGTTGTCCACACCCAGGGACAAATGAAGTTAGAAAATAAGCCTTATTTTGATTAGTTCTTTTATTCAGGAGGAGGCAACCTGGTCCCTCCCTGCAACATGGGTAATAGCTCCTCCTCAAACTCAAACTTGACTGTCTTAAAATATATATTAAGGAATTTTAAAATTGCTCAAACCTCGCTGCCTTGGGTCCAGTTCTGCGTGTGTAAGAAGGGACAGAGTAAGGTTTAGTAGCAGAAGTGAAGAGGCAGGCAGGGCAGGAGCAGGCCAGAAGAAGCTGGCAAGGCCATCCAAACCACCGGGCCGCTATTGGCCAGAGCCGTCTGAGGCAGACCTCCTCGGACTGGCAACAGCTGACTCTGACTAGGACAGGCTGGGCTTTTTCCAACTGGGCCCCCATGAGCCGATGGTCGAAATGAAAATCGGGGGCCAGACTGTGAACTTTATGGATGATACAGGGGCAGAGCACTCAGTAGTTTACTCAGAAGGTAGCTCCCCTCTCAGGACAGGAAGTCACCATTATTGGAGCTACGGGGACCACAGCTGCAGACTGTTCTGCCGCCCCTGCCGATGTCAGTTAGGCGGCCACCAGGTGGTTCATGGATTCCTGTATTTGCCAGATTGCCTGGTCCCTCTAATGGGCAGAGACCTTTTAGCCAAAATGAAAGCAGAAACCACTTTTGCCCCAGATGGCTCAGCACAGCCTTGCCTAGGTGAAGAGACCTCTCCAATGATCCTGCCCTTAGCAGTGCCGAGGGAGGAAGAATGGAGACTTTATACCCCCCCAGCCAAAGGCCCCCACATCTGTTCTTGTCAGGCCCCCATCAGGGGACTTGGGCAGTGTTCCTGTTTTCTGCTCAAGATCCCAAGACTGTGAAAGTACTTGTTCACTGAAAGGGTGTAAGTGTGAATGTCTATTTGATGTTTGTATATCTACTTAGGTATAATTATTTGTTCATGTAAGTGTGGAAGTCTAAGAAAAAAAAAATGTTTGATTTAAGGCTGAATGCTCTGACCAATAGCAAAACGCCCCAAGCGGCCACTGGGTTCCTTTCCCAAAGGGTGCTTACTCCCTGTCAGAGGTGGAATCAGCCCACCCAACAAAATTTGTTTGTTTACTAGAGACTTTGATTTGCTCTGATATTTCTGTGTTGGGTTGAAATTTGGAATTCTGGGGTAGATTTTAAAGTATTTGTGGATAAATAGGACCCCCAATTAGTTTCCTGTTGTATTCTGGAGCAGCCTATTCAGTCTTGACAGAGCCAATGGGACCATACCATCTAAGAAGACACCAGTTCTAGGAGCCACCGGGCAAACTGCCTTTTTTTTTTCCTTGGACGTCAAAGAGGACTGTGGACCTCAGAAAGAACACGGTAACTCATTCGTTTCTAGTCATGCCAGAATGCCTCTACCCCTTATCTGGACGTGATCTCTTACTGAAATTACAAGCCACCCATAAGCTTGTTCGAGATGCCCTGCCAGTGCCCACCTCGGACTCTGTACATCCTTTCCAGCCTGGGGACTCGTGTGGGTAAAGAAGTTCATGACCCAAGGACTCACCCCAACTTGAGAAGGACTATACACTGTCGCCCTGCTGACGGCATCCAGACCTGGCTACACCACTCCCAGCTCCTGCACCAGAAAACGGCCTTGATCCCGGCAGCCAGCGGCCTCACTTGTGAGATCCCTAGCCTGGGGTCCACGCAGGCCAGGAGGAGGCTTGACGCCCGCAGGAGGGGAACTGGACTTCAGTGAGGACAGTACTAATGGGGACCGTGGCACTAGGGCACTTGGTAACTGTAAGAACTTTTTTTTCTAGCCAGTGAGAAAGTCCAGGGCCAAGTGGGGCTAGATGCACTAGGGGACAGGAGAGCAAAAACAGAATAAAGAATGTCCCTAAAAGAAGTGGGGTGAGTAAATGAAAATAAATGTGCCAAGCTGGCAGTTTAAAAAAAAATTAATTTGGACAAAGTACTTGTAGTTAGGGGGCAGTACAATCCCCTAACTAGTAAAGATGAGTCCATGATTTGACTCATGTACATAAAACCAGTGGGGAAGGAAATATGGTACCTATTTGCCTTGTTTAAAAGTTACTTTGATTTTCTGAATTGTATACATCATCCCATTCAATTGAATGACTATCCCATTGATTGTGATCTTACTGGTTATCGAAGCACATTCTTCTGTACCTGGGAAACAGGACAGCACAATTATCCTAAATTGTTTTAGTGGCCACAGATGATGCATTCCAGTTGACTCAGTGGTCCCAAGACCAGGACAGCGCATTTACTCTAAATTACCTCGATGGCTCTAGATAATGAATTCCTGGCAACTCAGTGGTCTCAGGACCCGAGGGCTCTAGAATGGGGTGTTTCTGTCAATTCAGTAACCCCGAGACCCAGGACAATAATTAACATGCTTAAATTCTGCTTCTGTAAACTGTTTTTTTTGCGAACCAGTTTCCTCGTTCCAAGCCCTGGGATGTAATCAATACCTTTATGATTTTTGTGTTCATGATATGTAAATGTTATACTAGATGCAGAAAAGCAAAATTTAAGACAAACAGCAAAAAGACTCGGATCATGATGACTCCAAAATTAGAAATGATCCAGAATACTTTTTAACAAGGACGTATAGGACCTGACTGCCTCCCATTTACCTGCCCTTTTTTAAATAATAATAATTCGACCTTAAATGCCATCTAAGGTTATGGTCTTGCCCCATCCCCCGTGGTCCACCTGTTCAGCAAGACATGCTGACACTGAGACATCCTAGGAATGAGCCTTCCTAGCAACGTGGGACTCCATTATCCAACCAAAAGGTTGGTCATCAATGCATCCTTTGGATTGATTTATGACCAAAAGGGGGATGTGTGGACGAAAGGGGCCACATGCTGACCTGACAAGCTCAGGAGAGGCCTGCATGGCAGTTCTGCAGACTCGGAGACCTAAAGTAACCACAAAGGATGGTCTGAAATTAAACTTTAACTAAAAGCAGTTATGGTGGGCAGTTATGTCCTAGGCCAGTATCTTCACTGACAAGATCAACTTTGATCCTTACTGAGCCCATTTGCCTTTTTGCCTCTAAGATAACATACCCTTGAAATGTCTGGGTAACTTGTAACTTCCCTTTTTTCTGGAGCCCCTGGGGCACAACCAAATGTTCTGGGCAGATACTATAAATTCCTTCATTATCATGTTAATTGATCCTGCTATCCTATCACAGAGGTTTCCCCCTGCTTCGCTTAATCCCACCTCCTTAAATCTGTCACCAATGAATTTCATGTATAAATACGGATGTAACCCTGCCATTCTCCGGAGCACTATCTCAATTCGTTGAGGTTCTGCTTCCCGGCATATGTCGACAGTTTGGCTCAAATAAACTCACAAAAATTCTTTACAGGTTTCAATGGTTTTTTTTACGTTAACACCTCAATAAAAGAAAGAGGTTAATATGCAACACTGCATGGATTTCACAACCGTGGGAGGCTGGCAGGTATGGTCTCATCATCTCCACTCACAGACCAGGAGCCTCACTGGGAGAGATAAGCACTGGCTTCAGGCCACTCAATCAGCATGTGACATCAGGGTTCCACCTCAGGTCCTCCAACAAGCCCCATCAGTCCCTGACAGCAGCTCCAGGCAAAATGGAAATGAGGCCTTAGCCCCAGCCCTGCCACACCAAGTCCTAAGGTCAGGGCTGTGTGGAAAGAGTCCTGAGCCTCTCTGGGAGTGTTTGTCTGAGCCTCTTCCTCCTGCATGTATGTGCTTGTGATCATGAGTGTGTGCCAGCATACACACACACACCACTCACATCATGTGGACGAAAAGGGCCCACATGCTAACCTGACTAGCTCAGAGAAGGCCTGCATGGTGGCCTTGCAAACTAAGACACCTAAAGTAACCAGGAAGTACAGTCTGAAATTAAAACCTTTAATTAAAAAGCAGTTTATAGTGGGTATTCCTGTCCTAGGCCAGTATCTTCCCTGACGAAGATCAACTTCAATCTTTCTGAGCCTGTTATCTTTTTGCATCTAAGATACCATACCTGTGGAATGTCAGGGTAACTTGTGACTTCCCCTTTTTTGGACCCTTCAGGGCACAACTAATGACACCAGGGCAGAAACCACAAATTGTGATTGTTATCGTGTTGTCTACTGTTAACTATACTGTGCCCACCTATGTAAAAGAAGCAAATGTCTATCGTTTCGCTTTGTATCCAATCCCAGAGGTTTCGCTGCTTTGCTTTCTCCCACTTCCCTACTCGATCACCAGTGGATTTCATGTAACCCACTTACGTCTCCTCCTTTGATAGAAGTTTATAAAAGTGAAAAGCCACCATTTTTCAGAGCATTATCTCAGTACACTGAGATTCTGCTTCCTGGCAATTGTTGAGGTTTGGTTCAAATAAACTCACAAAAATCCTTTAAACGTTTGAATGTTTTCTTTTGTTGACAGCTCTGATTCCCACTAATTCTCAACACTTACTGCCTATTTGGAGGCATAGAATTCAATGTCAGATGCTAAATTGAGCAACTGAGAGATGAAAACGTGAACTCTTACTCATTTTAAAATTTCTCCCCACTCCTTTCTTCTAAGAGTCCCTAAATGTGCATGAGCGTGTGTGCACGTGCGCGCGCCACACACACACACACACACACACACACACACACACACAATCCCCTCCAAGTGACTGTTAAAACTTACTCAGATGCTGCAACTCCGACTCCAGGTGAGAAAGTTTCTTTATCACCGTCCCGTTCCATTCAGACAGAGGCAAGTGAAGCTCCTTTTGGACACCACCCAGAATCAACTTTTGTAAAGTCATCTTGGTATAAACTACCAGGAGGAGATTGTAGACAATAACGAGAGTCAGCCCAATGCAGAGAACTTTGCAGAGATGTCTCCTGAGCATCATACTCCGACTCTGGCTCGGCCGCTCCCTGCAGGGCTGAGTGTCACTGCTCCGGAAGCTAAGGATCAGAATCAGCCGAGCCTCGTCTCCTGGGTGCAGAGATGACACCCTGCCTGCTGAACCAGATGTTCTCCGACTAGAAAGCTGGCACAGGCCGCCTGGCTTCTCCCTGAGCAGTGTCAGGTGTGGAGTATGTCATGGCAGCCGCCCAATGACTGGCAGGCTCCCTGGGTACACCTTGCACTGTCTCAGAAGTCAAAGTCAACAAACTTGAGGAGAGCTTTCTAAGGTGGAGGTGAGCCCCAGGCGATGGCCATGCTTCACTGATCCCCACCCTCTGCTAGCTATCTGCACACAGCTCTGAACACTGAGGTTCTGATAGTGGGGAGGGGCACGTAATAAAAATAGAGCCACAATTGTTTAATGAGTATTCACCTTACTAACTATAGATAAGAAGTTTTCTTACAGACCCTGGGAAACTGGAGGATGTGCTGCAAGGAGAAAAATAGAGCTGTAAAAAGATAAGAGACACCTTGGGGCCCAAATGGGTCCATTGCTCAGAAAGGAAAATGCATCTTGAGAACAGACAAAAAACAGGACAGTTTTGATTTGGTTGCTGTGCCTGGACCCTGTTGCCCTCTGGGAGTTTGCCTCAGGAACACTGACCATTCTCTTCAAGATCCTGGAAGGAGACACAGGGGCCAGGGACCCTGCAGCCACCCCCTCCCTTCCCCCTTGTATGCAGCCTTTCTTCCTTATTCCTATGTAACCAGCCAGCTAGTAGGAGATGCGAGAGCATATTTTTGTGGATGACCTGCTGCTCTTCCACATTGCCAGCATTCTTGGAATAAACGCTCATATATGGTTCCACCCTGACGCTGCTTAATCGGCTCAAGTAGTGACAGGCAGCTGGGACCCATTGATTGTCGGGTTTCAGTTCCACCCTGCTCCAGCTTCCACTAACTCTTCGGCTCCCACACCTCACACTCACTATATGTTTTGGACAAATCATTTAATTACCATCATTGCAGACTAAACACTTTTGAAATTGTTCCCCAGAGCCAAAAGTTTAAAGCTCTAAGTCTAGTGTTGGGCCCCTCCATAATCATATCTCTCCCTGTGTCCCAGCTTCTGGCACTCCTTACTAGGTCTCCAAGTCAACAAGAGCTGGGGCAGACATTTAGGTTAAAGTACAGAGATTTGGCTTTAGAAAAAGCAGGTAGAACAAAAAATAATAATAAAATGTAAGAGTTTTTTATACCTGTTGTTCCCATGCCCTCACCTACAAATCAGAGTCAAAATAAATGTAAAATGGATGATCATGTCTATTTAACACTTGAAATGGAGTAGACCATTTATCTCTATTTCTCCCCACTGAAAACAACTAAAAACTCTGGATTCTATAAATAAAACAAACATGAAGACTCTGAAAAGTGGAGAAAAGGGCTATGGGAACAACTCAGTGCTGAGTTCCCTGGGTTTTCTTTTTGCCTAATATATCCTAGACTGAATGCTGAGTAAGTTGCCAAACTGTAAATGCCAACAGGAAAAGACAATAAAAGCCCCAAAGAAAATCCTGTTCTCTTTAGACAAAGGAACAGGACAGGGGCAGCCTAGCGAGATGGAAAACATTCAGACAATAACTGCTGTACTCCAGCCAAACACCACTTAAAAATCTGTTACACCACACCCATCCCATCCCATGTGGGAAGCCTCGACTACCACCCTCTCCCCCAGCTGTGACAAGGTGCCCCTTCCTTCATCCCCTCTAGGATGGGGTCTAAGAAGGAGCCATAATTTTTATCCATGCCCCCCAGAATGTCAGTAAGGAAACAGTAATGAAGTGGCCCTCCCTCCCTCAGCCAGTTGGTGTCAGCAGAGGCCTAGTGGGGAACCTGAACTTCCTTCCCCACAGGCAGTAAATGTATTTCCTCCTACCCCCAGGTGTCAATGGAGGCAAAGTGGGAAACCTTGACTTCCACTCCCACTTGACAGCAACAAGGTGGCATCTCCATTTCCCCACCAAACAGTGTCAGGGAGTCCTGCTAAAACAGAAGATTTAATTAAGATCCAGAGTCACACAATATAATACTCAGAATGTCGAGGATGCAATAATAAATAACCTGACATACCTAGAACCAGGAAAATCTCAACTTGAATGATACCAACACCAATACGACAAAGATGTTGGAATTATCTAATGAGGATTGTAAAGCAGCCATCATAAAAAAAAATGCTTCAATAAGCAGTTATCAACATGATTGGAACAAATGAGAAAAAAAATGTCTCAGCAAAGAAATATAAAGTCTAAGGAAATAAAATAGAAAACATAAAAAGAAACCAAATTAAAATTTTAGAATTGAAAATACAATAAATAAAATTTAAATCACTGGAGAAGCTTCAAAGGCAGAATGAAAGAAATAGAGAAAAGAATCAGGGAACTTGATTAGAAAACAGAAAGGACAGTAGAAATTATCAACCTGAAAAACAGAGCAAGAATAGATTATAACCCTCAAGAACTTTAGAATACAGTAAAAGATTTAGTGTTTCATCAGACTCAGAAGGAAAGGAGAAATGTGAGGCCAAACAAGAAATTGAAGAAATAAGTTGGCAAGGGGAAGAGCTTTGTTATGGTTGTGGGCTCACCAGCTCTGCGGGATCAGGAAGCTGAGGACGCGTCCTCAGACACCGCGGTGTCTCATGCCTAGCCTCAGCCCGGCCGCTGCCCATGTTAGATTTCTGTGGCCTTTTAAATGATTGAATAATGATGGGTATGGATCCAAAATAATAAATGACTTCTCTACTGAAGCAATAGAAGATTCTTCACATCACCTTCCAGTAGCTCAATTTCAGTCTTCAGGAAAGGGCAAAACAAGTGAAATACAGAAAACTGAAGAAAAGAAAACCTCACTTTGGAACTGTCTTTCTCCTTGACTACTCCTTAACCCTCATCTTTCTACTTGTTTTAATTTTGCTGTGAGTTTATAAATAGTGAAGACCAAAGAAATAGAAGATACATTTGGGAGCTTTATACCAAGAAATTTGCCTTGAAAGCTGCTATTCTTTGGAGGGAAAATTATATCAAGTTCCTGTCTAATTTTTTTTCAAACAAGATTTCTTATATCCTTAGATTTTGAAGAATAAAACAAATATAAATACATATCTGCACACTTTTTTAGCAGCTGTGTAAGAATAATGAGATTTGTAAATTAAGGGCTTTGTCATGTGGATGTTTTGCCACTGGAGTTGAATGCTCAGAAGATCTTTTATAGCTCTTTAATATTGTATTTTTGATCTATCACTTAGATTACATTATTTGCCCTTGCAAGTCCACCTGTCTTTCTAGTTATGCCCTTGTTATGAACAGTGTTTGTACTCACTGTGCAAATATCCATGTATTATCTATTTAAACAACATCATAGAGCCATCACTCAAGGAAGTTGAATGAGGTGAATATAGACATAGATCTTTCCCCTTCCCCCATTTTTAAATGTAACAAATACTTTCTTTATCTTCCCCTTCTCCTTCCCCCTCCCCCTTCTTCCCTTTTGGAAACCGTGTCAGGAACTAGGTAGTTTAAGATGAGCAATTGAGGGGACTGAGAGAGTGATCCACACAGAGCCTGGCTTCTTTGTGCTTCATCATAGGTGTGCTGCTGGTCAGCCTTATTAAGCACCCTTCTAACGAGAACCTTGTGGGAAATCAGCTGGCAGACTCAAGGAGTTCAGGAAACAGGACCACAGAGGTTACACTCTGGGATCCTGGCCATGAGGTTGGATGCCTCACCTTGCTGAAAAGAGACACTGGACCTAAATGGCGCAGCATGACTTTGTTCCTGCTTGGCTACATTTTTCAACACCACAGGCAGTGAAGTCACCTACAGCCACCTTTGAAAAACACGGAGAGCACCTACCCCGAGGAGATGGTCGATTTGGAGTAAGCCGTCATCGTCGACATAATTTCTCTGATGGCTTTTTTAACAATGGACCTCTACGAACTACAGATTCCTGGCACCAGCCCTTCCTGTTTCCCCATGATTCTGTGGACTCAAGTGTCTCTAAGGGAGCATATACTGGAATCACAGGAAACCTATCTGGTTGGCATGGCTCTTCCCGTGGTCATGATGGCATGAGCCAGCGTAGTTGGGGTGGCGCAGGAAACCATCACCACTGGAATGGCAGCTTTCACTCCAGGAAAGGCTGTGCCTTTCAGGAAAAGCCACCTGCAGAGATTAGGGAAGAAAAAAAAGAAGACGAGGTGGAAAAGTTGCAGTTTGAAGAGGAAGACTTCCCTTTGAATCCAGAAGCTGGCAAACAGAATCAGCCATGCAGACCTATTGGGACCCCTTCTGGAGTGTGGGAAAACCCACCTGGTGCCAAACAAACCTCCAAAATGCTAGTTATCAAAAAAGTTTCCAAAGAAGATCCTGCTGCTGCCTTCTCTGCTGCATTCACCTCAACAGGATCTCACTATGCAAATGGGAACAAATTGTCCAACATGGTTCCAAGTGTCTATAAGAACCTGGTTCCTAAGCCTGCACCACCTCCCTCCAAGCCCAGTGCATGGAAAGCTAACAGAATGGAACACAAATCAGGATCCCTTTCCACTAGCCAGGAGTCTGCTTTTACCAGTCCAATCTCTGGTACCAAACCAGTAGTACTGGCTGGTGGTGCAGTTTTAAGCTCTCCCAAAAAGAGTCCCTCCAGCACCACTCCTCCCATTGAGATCAGCTCCTCTCATCTGACCAAGTTGACCCGCCGAACCACCGACAGGAAAAGCGAGTTTCTGAAGACTTTGAAGGATGACCGGAATGGAGACTTCTCAGAGAACAGAGACTGTGACAAGCTGGAGGATTTGGAGGACAACAGCACACCTGAACCAAAGGAAAATGGGGAGGAAAGCTGTCATCAGAATGGTCTCCCTCTCCCTGTAGAGGAGGAAGGGGAGGTCCTCTCACACTCACTGGAAGCAGAGCACAGGTTATTGAAAGCAATGGGATGGCAGGAGTATCCTGGAAATGATGAGAATTACCTTCCCCTCACAGAGGATGAGCTTAAAGAGTCCCATATGAAGACAGAGCAGCTGAGAAGAAATGGCTTTGGGAAGAATGGCTTCTTGCAAAGCCGCACTTCTAGCCTGTTCTCCCCTTGGAGAAGCACGTGCAAAGCAGAGTTTGAGGATTCAGACACAGAAACCAGTAGCAGTGAAACATCAGATGACGATGCCTGGAAGTAGGCACATAAATGTTCACAGTTAAATCTGACCCATAAACTCAGCTTGTGTGCTTACGGAGAATACAAAAAAAATCTTTTCCTTTCATGTT